GAAACACCAAGGGATAAAACTCTCCTTGTGAAACAAAGTCATCTGTAGCCATGCCTAAGGGAGGAAGACACTGATGTGCAGAAGCTTTAGCTGCACTGAAGTTTGCTGTCATCCAACATGGCCTCAGTCTCATTCTCTCAGTTCTGTCTTGAATATAAGTAAAAACTTGTGGGTTTATTCACAATATCTCATGAGATATTGTAAACTCAGCTGGCTCACACCTAAGGATGGTGCATGATAGACACCTTTCAGTGGCAACAACACTTTGAAGGATGCCCATCCCAATGCTCCTGCCCACTCCCAGCCCCAGCACCCTGCTCTGCCCCTCTCCCAGCACAGGAGCTTCTGGTGTGATGTGGCCAGGGGGCCCATCTGGCTTTGAGAAACGCTGCAAAATGAGTAATTCCTACTGCAGCTGGGCCAGCACAGCCTCCTGGGTGAGGGAGAGCATGGTGCAGGGCAGGAGCAAACAAGGGGAGTGGGAGGGAGGCCTTCCTGAGCTGGCATTGCCACTGAGAGAAATACCTGGCCCACCTTTGCCTTGGGGTACATTTCCAAGTTCACCTCTACAGTTTAAAAGCATAAAACCCACTGCTGTCAACAGAGATATTTTCCTTGAGGCCCATGCTCCTGCTTCACTGAGAAGTAGCTGAAGTATCTCATATAAAAACAAAATTCACAACAATGAGAAGTTATTTTGTCTTTTACAAGAGCAAAGACTCTCTATTGAAGCCTTTCACAGCCCCTAAAGCTTCTGAAAGGCGACTGAATGGAATATTCTAGGATTTAGATCCACAGCAAAAGGCAAGCCTCATCCAAACACTCCTACTGACTCTGTCTGGCATTGGACTGGACCCACATGTGAAATGTAAGCAAAATATGCTCAGAGTCCTTCACAATATAGTGAATTACAGCAAGAGTGGTTTTATTTATAAAAATGGGGTTATAACAAAGGGACACTGAGATGCCAAAGCCTTCCTTTCCCCTTCTCCAAACATTCAGGGGAAAAGGCAGAGACTTGCTCTCACATGCATGGATACATCATTTCCTCGGCAAACATGTCCATAAATTTGCTTCCCCAGCATAAAGCTAAGACAAGCAGAGAAATATTTTTTTCCAGTGTTTGCTTTCTATTTATTTTCTGTTGCTACCTTTGTGCCTGCAGCAACGCCAATGTTCCCTGAGCCCCAGAACCCACTCATTTTGCATCTGCTGCCTGGGCCTTTCAAACCCCAGAGGGCTGCACTCGAGCAGCTCTCCCTTTGCAGCTGGCAGTCACGGGACTGTTTCAGAGTTGGGGTGAACAGGCAGAATGCCGGGAACATAAACAGGGGCTCCCAGCTGGAGATTGGAACTGGGATGGGACATACCATCTCAGTTGTGCTTTCAGCAGATGTTTAAGGAATTGGAGCTTTAAGTTACCTCTTTATGAGTTGGTGTTGTTATTACTATCATTATTATTATTATTATTCCAAGTTTATTGCTATCTTTAGTTCTCTGTTGTCTTCTCAACTGTTCATGGAAAGCAAAATACTGAAAGGTCACTAGCAGATTCAAATTCATTTTTGAAGGTGAGCAAATAGCTGCAGGGATTTGTTAATTTCAAGAAGAAAAAATATATAAGCAACTTACTGGGGGGAAAAAAACCCTAACTGTACCTATCTTACTAAGTCAGCCTCACAGTCCTGTCATTCAGAACTTTACTATCGTTTCATCATTGCTGGTAGCATCACTTTCTGTGTTGAAAAATGGCAACCTCTTCTGCACAAAGATCAAGGACTTTAATTGTTCACATTCTGGGCACTATAAGAACCATAAATAACAATTTATTGAACGAATCTCACTTCACTAGGCATGACTATCCCAAACTTGTATAATGTGTGAAATCATTTATTGCTTGGAGACCTGTTAAACAGGCAGCCACAAAAGTCCATTGCATCTCATTGTTTGAAGCACAAACCTCAACATCATTTATTTCTAAGCTATTTTTTGGGTACATGCAGAAATCAAACCCTTGTAAAATCTTTTTAATTTCCTGCTCTCGTTCTTTGGGCCCACAGACTGGACCTGTAAGATATTTCACTTCTTTTTTTTTTTCCACATTACTGGTAAACTCCTTCAGTTTCAGCCGTGATGCCCATAAACAAAATTCACGTCAGACAAGGCAAAGGTTCCAAGACAGACAGTTATTAGCTCTAAGCCAGAGTGTTTCATTTTAGACTTCATCCCCATTTAAACCATGAAAACCTCAGTAAGTATTGAATTTAAATCCACTGTCACTTTCTCCAGGCCTTTGTCAAAGGACTCATTATTAGTTTCTATTTTACAGTGCCTCCTAGATCCCCATGTGGAGAGGGGCCACACTCTATCAAGCAGAGCTGCGTGCAGACACAGAGCAAGAAGCAGTCTCTGTCCTGGAGCACTTAGGATCCCAGACAGACCAGACAAAAGATAAGAAGGCGAAGCTACATTTCCAGCATGTGATGCAGAGCAGGTCAGAGAGCTCAGGATTCACGGAGTCTTAATCCAGGGCCTTATCTACCACATCAGATTTTGTCATACTCTTTTAAAACAAAACAAAGTATATGTATATAATAAAGGGTACATGCGGATATAATCAATATGAATATAAACCTTTTTGAAAGAAAGGTTCTGTCCTTCTTACAGGAGCAACCACAAAACCTCACAAGCCTCTGGGATCCATCTGTGTCCTCTCCCTCCTCCAAGTACACACTAATGGCCCCTAGCCTGATGGCTCGCTTTCACAACAGAAACAACAGTTTGCTGAAGAACAGTTTTTGTGGAAAAGTGTAATGTTTGGATATGTGTTTACTGAAAGGAATCTTTAACATTTCTTGTTCTTGTTGTCCTGGTGCCCTATTTCTGTGTGCCAAAAGGGAGAGAGCAGCAGTACTTTGCCTGAAGCAGAACACTTATGCTCTGCTCTGAGTCCTGTAGGACAAGGCAGCTATCAGGAGAAAGGTAATTGCAGAGGCAAGCCTGAGCTGTTAGCTTCCAGTCAGGCTTGCAGTGTGTATAAAACCCTGGTTGCCTGATGAAGTCCTGGGTTACCATGAACCCTCAGCATCAGCAGCATGACTGTTTTCCAAGCCAAGCTGCTTTAAGCCTGTCAAAGTAGGTTTAATTGCTGCTTCTTTTCTCTGGAAAGTGCCCAGAAGTGTTATATGACGTTGGCTAGGACAGCTGGCCCAGAAAAACACTCCAGGGAATGGCTGCTTTCTGTCCTAGCCCTCATGGCTGAGGATGTCTGCTGCGGCAAGCCGTCCCCACAGTACTGTGCCCATGGTCCACGGATTGAGGCTCCGGGTACTTTGCCAAATCAGGACAAACGAGTAACTGGGAAGTCCAAAGCAGATCAATACTCGGCAGTGGCAGAGTACAGCCCTCATTTTCTCTGCACCATTTCTATGATTTTCCACTCAAATCATTGTGCCATTTGAAGGAATGCAGACCTATGTCATTCTGAGTTACAGTCAGACTTGTGGGTGCCACTAATTCTGCTAAATGAACAGTAAAACAGAAGCAGACAGAACGATGCAATTAAGCATGCTGTAGAAAAAGAGTCAGAAGGAACACACCAACAGTATTTTGAAAAGCCACCTGCCCCAATATTCATGGTGTGACTCACATATCTACTGAAGTACTGCAGAAACCCAGGACTAGCTGCACAATTCTCACCAGGAGTTTATGTGAAATTAAGTCATCCCAAATGGTCATTCAAACTAAGGGTTACTGACAAGGGAAGGGATGAAATAAAATGTTCCTGTTGATCTAGACAACAAAAAAGACTGCTAAGGAAGTAACTTTATAACCTGAGAAGGGTCTGCAGCTTTAAGAAATTCTCCCCTAAAGGTTGTAAAGCTTTTACTATGCAAAGTATTTTTGCTATTATATACACTGGCGGCCACTAAGTGCAGCTATTATTTCTGGCGGTCATTCAGAGAAGGTCGGGGCTGATAAAGTGTTTAACAGAGTTTGTTTGGGTAGATCCATCTGTGTTTTTAACCACCCATACAGTCTTTTGTGTCCTTTTAAAAGACACTGGATGTTCCTGAGTCTAATAAATTATGGTCTTTATTTTTATTTGCCATCTTTTATTATTTATCATGCCACAGCAAAGAGAACATCTTCTTTACAGTGTCCACACTTTTCTATATGGATTACACAAGCACCTAAAAAGGGATGATCCTTTGCTGTGTGGCAAGGGTGCAGCCTACAGAGAGCTCAAATTTCCTTGGTAAAGGCCATGTGGAGTTGTGAGCTGTCTCTCTCACTCCTTACGCCTTGGGGTGAGTTCATGCCTAAGAGGAGCCAAGGAGGGAAGATTGCAATCAAAGGGCAGGGAAGTAAGAGGTATGTTGAAGGGATGTAGCAAGGAGCCCAAGATACAGCTTCGGAAAGAAACTGTTTTCGGGTCACATGAGCACCAGGAAAAATATCCGAACTAGTTGGGATGGACCATAATAGCATTCTTAACACTCCCACTGAATGAGTTTGGTAGGGCAGGGTTTGAAACCTAGCCCCATTATAAACTCTGTCCTACATGGAGCAAACCAGGTGAACTCCCAGCATCCCACTTCCCTGCCTGGCTGCACTGCGTGGCTGCAAGCTGAAGCACCACAGTGACGATCTCTGCTGCTGTTTATAAGTACTCTCTTCCAAAACCTGAAATGAAATATTGCTAGGACCGTATTGCTTCAAAACGCCGTGCAAACACTTGCTGACTATGAAACAGGGGAGTATTGGTGTCACCATTTTACAGACAGGAAAGTAAGACAGAAGGAGTGGCTGGAAGCTAATGACTGCTAGTGAATGTGTGCCCCACCTGATGCAAATAACTTCCATTGATGTAAAAATTATTTAAACCCTACAATGAGAGGATCCTCACATCTGACAACCATTCTGGACATTTCATAAAGCTTTTGTATCCAGAGATAGTACTGTCCTGAACGTATGGTTCAGGTCCCTTTGCCACCTACCTGAGCTTATCTGCTACAAAAATCACACGCCGCTCCAACAGGAGAGAAGCAAAGATCCTGATGATCTGACGAACACTGAGGCACTTGAAAAGGCATTCAAAGTCCACGTGTTCCAGCCGCGAGTCCATGGGCCGCCGCAGCTCAATGACCTGAACACATCCAACAAACATCAGTCAGCATCACTGCTCAGGGCTGACAGTGCCAGGGGCGCCCAGCACCCCAGCCCGGGCCCTCCAGCACTGCGCCACGCTTTCCTGTTGCGGGGACACAGAGAATGACCCCCGTCCTCTTTTGCAAACTGAGGCTGGAGACACAGCACTCCAGAGAAATGGCGTATTACACAATTCACTATCAAATCATTCTTCCCAAGAACACAGTTGTGCACATTAGGTCTGCTGTCATTTCCAAGGGAAGCATAGTTCTGCTCCCTAAACACTCTGTCAGAGATGCAAAGCTTGGCTGAGTCAACAGTGTGAAGCAAGTAACAAACTGGAAACACTGGAGCCAGAATCTTATGGGGTTAAAACAGCCATAAAGACAAGGTAAATTTGGTTATAAACTTGGCTAGCAATTCAAATTCACATCTAGATAGGAGCCAGGGACTGAACTTAAAGGCTGGGAAAATTTAAACCCGATTTACTTAATTTTCACTCTTCTATGATGCACAGTTCACTAGATAATGTTTAAAACCTTTTTTTTTTTTTTTTTTTTTTCCATACAGAGATATGTGTGTGTATATATATATATACTTAACTGGGGAGTCAGGACAAGGTCTTAGATGATGACTTGTGACATCCCTTTAAAGTCTAATTTTCATACTTCATCCATGACCTCAGGCCCTCTCCTTCCTTTTCTCAAATGCCTTTTTCTTGATTCCTTTATTATATCTTCCTTTTACTCTGCAATTGACATGGTCAGATGTGGAACTTGAAGGCGGAGGACAGAAAAAAGAAGAGGGAAAAATAACATGAAGAAGAGAGTAACAGAGGGAGAAAAATATGAAGTGCAAGACAGCAAATGGTGAACTACTGAGGAATTTGAGGAAACAGAAGGGAAAGGGGAGAAGTTGGCCAACTTGAAGCTGTGTTGAAATCTCTAAAGACATATTAACAGGAACATATATACATCTCCTTCTTTCCATATGTCCAAAAATCACCATCGTTTTATTGCTTTAGATCACTTTTATGTTTTCATGCACATGACACCACATTCCACAGGCATACTGTATTGGGTTTAAACTGGAGCAGACATTACAGTATTCCTCACAAACACACTGTTTTAAGGATATGATCAAGACCACAGGATACTGGAAATAAAACCAGTTCATACCAGTTTAGTTGTAATATTTTTTGTGATCAATACACAGGACTGTAAAAAGAAAGTCATTGTTAGAACAGTATTTGTGTACAGGTTTGATTTTTTAAAAAGCTGAAATATGGAAACATTATGGTACCAGATTATTAGATACCCATCGCTCAGCTGCTGACCCAAACAGCAGTAAGAATCAAATTGCAGAGCGACGGTATACCATGAATACCTCCCCGGGAGATGCTGCCTCTTTTGCATATTTAGTAAAGGTGCCCACTTCCATTCCTTAGCATTGAAATTGCAAGCTCAAATCATGTTTATGTGCCAAGTCATGAGGAGCTAGTTTTACTGCAAAACTTCCAATGCTAAAATCTTGCTGCAGGGTAGGATGCAATGCAAGTTACGGCAGCTTTTACAAATGCCATGGATATTTTCTGTTGCCTGGCAAAGCCTTCTGCTTCAGTCTGCTAATCACAAAGAAATATACTGTCTACTTCCCAATTAATCATCATCTTTGTTTAGGCCAGAGGAGCCACAATGGAAGGACAAATTCTGTTCCTAATTAAGCCAGTGCATTCCATTTAAATAACGAGTTTGTACTAGCATAACAGAGAGCAAAGCTCAGCCAGAAGAGAATTGTTTGTTTGTTTGGAATTATCTCAGTGTTTTTCTCTGGGAGAGTTCAGAAGCTTGAGCAGACGATAGAGAAGTTGCAGATCCATGGTTCCCGGATACAGTCACATCAGAAAAGCAGTATCACATCTAAGCACTGTTCGGCCAGTTAGCCTTTCAGTTTTCCTTTGCTTTTCCAGAAGAAAATGCCTGCAACTTAAACGTGCCTTGCAAGTCACTTATACAAGGAACCCTTTTCATTTGGTACCACGTGACATTACAGGCCCACTCTATGGAAGTCAGTGGCATTACACTTGGAGAAAATAGGATTCAATGTAAAAATAGTAGTAGTACTGTAAAACTAACCCTAAGGAGTGTAAAATAACCCTAGAGGGGTATTTTTTTCCTGCTTTCACTAACTGGGCCAAATTCTATTCCTATCTGCAGTAACATATTTCCTCTATATGCTTGCCCACCAGAGTGGAGCTACTATATGTTCACATGCAGAGAGCAGAATTTGACATGGTGAATGGCTAGCAAGCCTCAGGTTACAAAAATCTTTTTAAGCAAGGCACCATTATTGCCATTTTCCAGTAAGGCATATGTTGTATAATGCAAGGCATCTAGCTACTCAAGTCAGTAATAAAAAGAAATTAAATCTGTTGTATGTGCGCACACACACAAACTTTTATATGACATGCTTTTCCAAATATAGACTATCTCTTTGAGGGCCAGTTAAAGGGTATTTATTGCCAAAAAGAGCCATTTAAATGCTGCTGGTCACTCCTACCAAGGCCGGGACAGGCTGTAATGAGGTTTGCAATAACAACCAGCTGCTGAACTGTTCAAGTACAGTCAGCATGGGAAACTTACACTTGCTTGTTATCACTGTGATAAAAGTCAGGAGCACTGCAGTCTGATAACTACACGAGACCAGGAAAACTAGGACATTTGTGTTGTTTGTGGGTTTTTTCTTAAATGCAACTTATTAATAAATGTAACATAACAAATACATAACAATAAATTGGCTTATAATCATCAGTGGGAACTGGCATATCAACTCTGGTGCAGCTCCTGCACTGCTCATTTTGAGGGTGTGCCGCCTCACATGCCTTGCAGTATCTGTATGTCTCCTCCTGTTTTCCTTTTGCTGTTTGCTATTGGAGTGGTGAGGGGGGAGGCTTTGACTCTTAATGTTTGCAGTTGCTTTTTACCTCGTTTCCAGCTCCAGGCAGAAAGGTTTTGACTTTGATTGTCTTTCCAGGTGCAGGAAAAGGAGATTCCATCAGACTCCTCATAAATGGGTAAACCAAGGCAGCAGATATTCCCCTTCTCCTTTCAACCTCATCCAGGATCTGATCCATTAGTAAGACATATGAGAGAAAGAGACAGAACATGTCAGCACCACATACACTTTTGAAGCATCTTTTGACCCACATGTGCCTAAACACATGACAGATCTAAGCTTAATTCTCCTCTGCCATGCATTTCTTCACTACCATTAGGAGCCACTGGATTCAATCATATACTCTAAAAATGATACATTTTCCAGTTGCAAAATGAAGCCTGTTTGTGAATGCAGTTAACACAGAGACAAGGGAGAAATTGGAAAGGAGAAAGAAGACTCAGCATGGCAAAAGGGATCCATATTGTTGTGATTTTGCCTGAACAATAGGGTAAGCTTATGGAGAGAAAGATAAAGACAAATCTCATGATCACAGGCCAGGTCAGCATCACACCTCAGCGGTACATCTTGAAATTTGTATTAAGGAGAAACACTTTATTCTACCCTGGGCATCTCTTCCATTTCAACTGAGCGGGCAGGAAAAAGCCAGACCATCAAGAAAGCAACACTGCCATGCTATGATACCAGCAGAGGTCCACCAGGAAGGAGCTCCTGGAAGAGTCCCGGCAGTGGTGGCAGCAGTCACGTCGCAGTCTGTGCTGAGCTGGGGCCAGCCCCGAGCAGCCTCCTGAAGCATGCCCAGCTGTTTACCCTGGGTGCCTGCATTAAGGTCATTTTCTGTTTGACATGACGCAGAGCAGGCAAGCTAGTTTTGAACTAAGCAGATGGAACTTCTTACAGATAGAGAGGACTATTATTTTCTTCTCTTTGGTCACATGGGCCAACATAAATTAGATCACAGCTAAGTTTTCCCACATTAGACAGACCGTATAGACGATAAACCTAAAGAAGATGAGAAAGCAAGCTTCAAAGCAGTTAGTGGTTTGACCTGAAATGGTGATCTTTTAACCACCACTCAAGAGCATGAGGCCATACAAGAGTTAGTGGGTCTGAGCCAGGCATTTTCTCTTGTTTCTCTTGGAAATGCTTTTCACTGAAACAGAACATTAAAAGATACTTAAGCACATGCTGGTGACTTACAGTGATAGCTAGTGACACCAAATGCCAACGGAGTCATTCACTGGTGCATAGTTTCCCCTTCCTCCTTGCAATGTAGTAAAGACCTAACTAAAGCAAAGCTGACCCTATATACATAGCTTGCATTCCAGTTCACGGAAGTGGCAGATAACCATAAATGAAGATATGAATTTCATTCTTGATGTAATTTGCAGCACAACAACTATCCTCACCAAACAAAACCAGCTGCCCAAACCAAAAGTAGCAATGAACCAAGGCAATGCCCTGGGTCCCTTAGTGCTCCTGCATACTGCCAGCACGCAGTTGTTATGTGCCCAACACACATCTCCTTTTCTGCAGTCATTATTTGATGTTTTATGTTGCTGGAGTTGGGAGCCGTGTGTGTCGTATCCCTGTCCCAACAACCTTCACAACACAAGCAAAAAGGAGCATTTAAACTGACTAAAAGTTGAACAGAGATCTCAGGAGATAAAATGGTCAAAAACATCTGTTGAAACCATGACCAAATGAACTGGCTAGAAGTAAAGATATCTGTGGTTCTGAAGTCTGTCTTAGCAGTAGGTATTACAGCAGTGAGCGTAAAAGGCTTTGAGAAGGATTACAATAATGCAGGCTATCAGAAACTGGATGATAAACATTTTAAAACATAGGGCTCCTTTTGCTTTTCTGATAAATAATATCCAAGTTTTAATATCTTGTGGTCTTTCATCACTCTGTAAGACAACTGTTGCTTGTTCTGACTAATTCGGCAAAGTGCACCATCATGACCGTTTTCCTTTCACTAGATTTATCAATTAGGACAGCCCAGGTTCCTCTCACTAGGCTGAAAAAAGAGACTGTTTCGCTTTCCAGGAACTCCTGTCTCCATCCACACTACACATGTCTTCAAAACCAAGAGGGATGCTAAGGCTCAAACTCTTCCTCCTTCATTTAGCAGCTGTTTTGTCCAAGCCCTTTCCAAATGTGGTGCTCGGAGTGTGTGCTAGAGAGCTGTGCTAAATCCAGCCCCGCGTGCTGCCAAACACCCTGCTCCCCCCGGCCCTGGTGCCGTCGGGCGGTGGCCAGCACTCCGCAGGACAGTACCGCTGTGGCCAGACTCCGGGGCGGCTGGCGTCGTTTTGTGGCCCAGCAATTGAAAAAGAGCACAAATGTGTTACAGCCCCATTCAGGGCCCAATATACAACTGAGTGGGAGCCTTCCTTCCCTCACAGACCAAGAATTTGTGGCCTGTGTGGCCAGAGCCTGCCTGCCACAATGCCTGGGAGCAGTCCCTGCTGAAGCTGGTGAAACTACACTCACCTGTCAGCCTTGGGTTCACTTTGCCTGGATGATCAGACAATTTTTTTCAAGTTACAGACTGAACTGGGAAAGCAGATTATTTGCAATTTTGGTGCAATGACCTTCCTTGTCTGAATTTATACCTCAGCTGCAGTGATACTTGGTTGTAGGGATACTGATTTTTTTTTTTTTCTTTTTAGAAAAAAAACTCTCCCAAGTTTTTCTTTTTAGAAAAAAAACTCTCCCAAGTTTTCCTTTGAAAATTAATGCACTATCAACATTAGATAAAAACATAAAAGCAAACAAAGAGCCTCAGGACCTCTCTCCATACCACAAGTCTGGTGAGCTATGTTATCCTCCCAGAACAATGCATTCCATTTTGCTCACACATATCTGTGTTTAGATACATATTATGTCCAAGAGACACTGTTATAAACCCTTTATTTCAGAACTTTATGAAAGATGTCACAAGCAGAACTGCAATTAACTATTGCAACCCAATTGTTTCTCTTCATATAAGATTTGTTTTAAACAAAGTTTTATCTAGAAAAGCTTGAAACCTGCTTTGAAGATAACATTCTGTATTAGATCATATGAACAATATAAATGCTATGATTTTTATTAACTTCAATGATTTACTTGTTCTTTTCAGCTTTATTCCTATACAAATGAACAAAAAAAAAAATCTACGTAAGTTCTGTGAGATTTCCCATATCTGAAGTGAAAATCTCTGGCAAATTAAAACATTGCTATGAATACTATCAAAATTGGAAAAGGGGAAGGCAGCCATTTGACATTAGATATATTAGTGTTCTCCAAGATCACTAGAAAATTCTATACAAAATTCTGAGGTGCTCACTGGATTTTGCAGGACATGCTCAGAGGATTAGGAGGCCCTAAACTGGCAACAATAGAGGTATTTCAAATGTCAATCAATCAGAAATGTTATTACTAGTTAATTTTAATAACTATTGGTCTTACAGAAGAAGAATGCTTGCAGTTCTGGATCTGACTGGCAGTTAACTGTTTCTATGGCTATTAAATCCCTCAGTTTAGCTGCAATGCCCTCCCTATTGTCTTGAAATTCTTGTGTCAGGAAATGTATTACCTAAGTAAACCACATCAGCATACAATGTAGCTTTGGATTCATTAATGTAGAGGCCAATTAAAAGGTTATCCATGCTTTCCTAGCCTCTTAGGATAAAAAAAATGTCAATAGAGTTAAGAATATAGAATTCGCTTATCAAATAATCTTTTTTCTTAGCCTCATCATTCCATGGTGTATTGGAGTAAAAGTGGTACTGGCCCATCATGCAAACTGTGGGTGCCAAGAATTACAGCTCAGCACAGAACGGCTTTAGAAAACAATGGAAAAAACTTCAGTCAGCCAGATCATACAGACACCCAGATGTTTTTTGAATCAAGTTCTGCCTCAGTCACAGAAGTAATAAGACATTCTTTGATGCACCCAATAATAGGGTTGGAATATCCAAAACAGCAACTGTAAAATACAGTTATCTCCCATCAAAGGAAGAAATTATTCTCTGCGGATGTGTCTCAGTAAACAATCAAATTAAAAAGCAATATTGAAAAAAACGTAATCACCTTACCTTGGAAAATAAGTCAAAGCACCCCAGCCGGCTGATGACACAATAAACTTCAGGTAGACGTGGGCCTTTTCCACTTGGCTGATAACAGTAAAAAGGAGATTGAAATTACATATTAATTTGGAGTCATAAGGAAATACACTTCTCTGATCACACAGTTGGCCATCATGTGACACCTTTCACTATCCGTTTCTCCATCAAAATAGTTACTCTTGGAAAGGCATCATATTTCTTCCATAAGACAGGAAACTGAAAAGCATAAATAGTGCTTATCCACTTTGGAAATCACAGCGCATTGGAGCTCTATTCCAATATCGCTCCAGCTTGCAGCCTTAAAAGCACATTTAACTACAACTCTAAGTCATGATTGTGCTATCACTGTCCTCTGCTCCTGCTGTGGCATGAGGAGTGGGGCCACCCTGGGGCAATGTGCTGGAAGGTGAGAACTACAATGCTAAGGGAGGTTATAATGGCTTTAGTTTCCCACTCACTCCATGATGTTCAAAGAGAGCTCAATTTACAGAAAGCAAGCTCATAGACCTAAACAAAGACAAGCTGCATGAGCTAAATCATTAACTTCCTCAGATTAATGCATGATAATCATGAAACTCTTCAATAACTTAAACAAGCAAGTATGAATCAATGAGGCACCTTCCCCTACCCCCCCAAGACCCCCCAAACTATAAAGACTGTCCGCTATAACCATCCTATTGAAGATATTTCCTAGAGAAGCAAATGGTTTAAATTGGCATGACTGACATGGATTCCCTCAGCATACTGGACTCTGCAACCCTGCTGATACCACTGCAGGGAAAGGCCCTTCAGCACTGTGTGTGAAAAAGGGTACAACCGCTGGCTGGATTCGGCTTATTTACTGGAAAATAAGTAGAATTAAGCCAATGTGGAGCACTTTAGAAAAGCCATCCTCACTGGCAAGGTCCTCAGAGCAGAGAGCTGGTCTGCCTGTGCCCTGCATGTATACAATGCACACAGATAGCAGTCACAGCCATGAATAGCAGCTTTCCACTGTATTTTTAATATGCTGTGATGCAGCATTCCAGTTTTGTGTAGTTGCAACTGATTTTCACCAGATCAGCAGGCACACAGTTCCTAGGGGCTGTTATTTTAACAATGCAGCTTTTTGACTTCAATTTGCAGTCACACGTAGTCCCAAGATACAATGCAAGGAAGCTCTGGTGCTGCCTTGTCCAGGAGCTATGTCCATCACGGCACAGAACAGCTGTAGGTACACTAGCAAACCCCAGCACCCCCAGGAGCAAAAAGATGAAAGCGGGGTCTGAGGCAATAGGCAAGGCTGCCTACTTCATTGCATCTCGTGGAGTCAGCTGTGCTTGTGCTGCATGGAGTGAAAAGTGGCTGTAAAAGAATCACTTGGCACCACTTAGCCTCTTTGTGCAGCTGTACATTATTGATATGCAGCAGTGACAGAATCATCTCCATTAATAATGACTCTGTGATTAAAGAGCTCACTCACTGTTTCCATCAGCTGCTGCCCACTTTTACATTTAGCCAAACTGGCTGATCATCTCCTCTGTATCCATATAGAAGGCCGGTATATTTTTATTTTTGTCTCATTGGTCTCTGATGATATAGTGATTAACTTCTCCACAGTGTGCTTGACATTTACATTTCACACAGATGTCAATCAACAGAAACCGAGGGGTAGCTGTGCTTTTTAAATCTGAATATTGCAATCTAGACTTGGACAGTCAGCAGGTGCCTGCCTGTTATAATAAAGACCACAAAAAAATACCAAAGCTAAGTGAATACAGATGAGTCTATTTCTGGATCCAAACCTGCTCACTACACGTCACATCTCTGAAAAAGCAGAGCCCTTTTTTGTCCATATTAGGTATAAAACCCTTTCTAAAGGCACTGAGTGATTATATCAAGCATGTGGGATTTTGGTTAAAATCATTGTGTCAAATCTGCAGGAATGCCGAAGCCATGCCAGGAGCCTTGGATAGCTCCCAACCAAGAGCTGTCTCACTGAGTGCCAGTAAAAACATCACATTCCTGGGTCATCTATAAGACCAGAAACAATAACTGCTTAGCTCTTACTCAAAGATTCTCCTTTATGAAATATCATTGCTTTCAAACGTCTTAAAGGCTACATGTCTCTGAGAGCTGAGATTCTTCCCTCCTTGCACTCATCATATAGGACGTCCTTTCCTGTTGTTTCAGAGACTTTTTCCTGCAGACAGCACAGCTTCCCAGATGCATAGAAATCATCTGTAAGAGCCAGCAAGCAAAAGCCTCAGGCTGAGCCATTCTGAAAGGCAGGGTTCTCAAATTTCTAACACCAGCAACTCTTCACATCACCTACCCTCTCAGCCTTTAGTTTACACCTCAGAGATGGATCCAAAACACCTGCTCATTGTGCTTTACTTTGCTTTTCCCACAAAAACATTGGATGGAGCATGACATTCCTCCCTTCTCTGCCTGGACTCATGTCTCTTCACTAGGGGAGACTTGAGCACTGGGTCTGGCCAACAACACTGGTTTCACCTACTCTCTTCCCAGAAAAGAGTGCTTCCGAGTTGCAGGCTGTGCTCTGCAAGATAGCTACAAAGCCTTAGAGTCATGGTTTCCAAGGCTCTGTCTTCCATACAGCGAATAGGTCCAGTTCAGGGAAGCTGTATGGTAAAGTAGCAGCCAAGAGGCATCTGAGTGACTCTGCCTTGATGCGCTGCACTCCTCCTGGAAGAAGAGGGATGGCAGGGATAATGTTTTGGTTTTGATTTGTTTTCGATTCGTTTTCATGGAGCCCAGGATATTTTCAGCATTAGTCCAGTATCACAGATGAAAATGCTAATGAGTTTTGTTGATAACAAGACAGTTTCCCAAGAGCATGAACATAAACTGACAAGAACTTGGCTATGAGATGGAGAAGCTGAAATCTGCATCAGGGCTTGTCTGCAAGTGGCTCAGGAGAAGTTTTTTTTTTATGGTGAGTCTAATCTGAAATTTACTGACTAAAGTCCACTCCAAAACCTGCTTTGACAGGAGAAACAGGAGGCTTTTGCTGTAAAAACTAAGCCTGCCATTTTTCTCTTTCAAATCACACCTCCCTGCCCATGTGCTTGAAATCTAGGGGAGCCTTCAGAGATCTCCTCCCAGTCAGGTATAGAACTGAGGGTCTCTCACATACCGCATGCACCTGCTCTCAAAGCAAGGCTGACTATCCCTGCAGTGTGCATACTTGCCAGCCATTCAGACACATAACTCAGTGGTTTGGGTTTTTTAAGATACTGGGGTGGCTGTGGGGTGTCAGGAAAGCTCCCGGTTTCAGAGCCCCAGAAATAACTGGGGAATGGTAGTCCCATCGTGTTGACATCAGAGGAACCAAAGCAGCAGGGACCAAACACAACATTTTTTCCTCCTGCACTTCTCCTCCCAGCTCCTCTCCTCTACCCGAAGATACGCTGTGTGGGGAGGAAAGGCGCAAAAACAGATCTGCCAAACAGCAAGAAAGAGAACCATGCACCATACTCCTATCTGCTACCTCAAAAAAGCAGGAGTGCAGCAAGAAACAGATGAGCATCGACCTGAAAACTCCAGAAGGGCTGTGCTCCCTCCTCCCCACAAAGGACTGTCACAAATGCACAGCAGTAGCTGAGCTGTCTGAAGGAATCAGCCTTTGCAAAACACATGCGTTAGCTCAGCATAAGCCTCTAACACCCTGGGCTCCTTTTGAGACCAGAACTGTAGATGCTTCAATTGCAATTAGCTGTAATTAAAGCAATGATCGTATAACAGAGATAGCACATAAAAATATTTAACTCTAAATGCCATTTTCACACACACATTGTGTAATGTTTATTCCCTTCTGCAGGAGAGTGAAAAGGACACTATTTTAATCCTATCTGGCTCTAGGACTGTCTTGTTGTTGGAACAATGGAAGATGCAGAGTCAATCCAAAATTTAAACAGGGAAACATAGTATTCCTGAATAATCTCCCAGCACATTTCTCCTGCTCGGTTATATTAGAGCCACACACAAGCTCATGGGGTACATAGCTTGAATGGATAATATCAAGAAGGTAGAGGAGCTGCCTCCCCTGAACATTTATCTGCATATACTAGATAAGACTTGGCAGTTTCAGAAAGAAAGAGACATACTGAAAATGCAGCAAGGATCCTTGTTTAGAAGTCTGCTGTTTTGTTGCTGGCTTAATTTAAACAATGACAGATCTACACATACAGAGACTGAAAAGTAGGCTTGCAGAAATCAGGTTATTGTGTCAGATCAGATCACCACTCTCTTAAGCCTAATGCAATCACATCCTCATGGCCAGACAAGCCCTAGCCTCACCAGCAAGTCAACATATTCAGAAACAGTGGTATTCCTTAATGGTGTCGGGGATCAGAACAATTCAAATGTTGGGAGTCTAAAATGAACACATCAGTCACAAGCCAGCTTCTGTGGCAGCTCCTGATTCCTTGTTAGGGCCAGTCCAAATTCAGACCATGAGAAAACTGTGGGTGCTTTAAATCCAAAAGCTTGTCTTAAAGTCTTCTTGTTACATGTGAAACATGAACTTTTAATGCCAGAGCACTCAATGTGCACAGGGCTGTCAAAGGTGCTTGGAAGGAGGCAGGATGGAGGGAAGAAGGCAAGAGGAAGAAAAGGTTTTCCAGTGAGTTTTTTCAGTTCCATAAACATTAGTCTGCATCCCAAAAAATTTCCTTTCTGAGTATAATGAATTCCCTTCCCCTGCCCCAGCAAATGCAGGATGAATTCGTCCCAACTAACAACTGTTTTTCATGTTTTAGTGTACACACTTTGTGTTCAGGCATCCGATCCTCCACTGACTCCTGGGGTTGGTTTGTCTTAGCCTAGAAAAGTGGTGGAGGAACATTTTTTATGTGAGTGGAAAGAGAGAGGTAGAATAGGGTAAAAGCGACCCTGCAAGTTTTCATCTTATTTCTTCAAATATAAAGTTACCAGACACGGAATCCTGACACTGTCAGGCTTTCTGCTCTGACAGCTGGGTCTTCTCAGGTGTCTGCCCTATAGGATAGAAACATGTGTCTCCCACTGTTCCCATGAACCAGTTGCCAGCTGTGGCAATAAACTGGAAGACATTGTTTTGAAGATGCAGTATCTTATACTGCAGTATTTCCCCACTAGCTAGAACTAGCACCCCTCCAACTCCCATGGCAGTAAAGCCCAAGATGCTTGTGAAGATCCCACAGAACAGAAGCTTACATGCCATGACTGTCCCCAGGGACAGGGGCTGGCACAGCTGTGTGTTCCAGCCATAAGGCCACTGACAGCCCAGGCTGCCAAGGAGCTGTGCTGGATCCAAGCATCTCCCAAAGGATACAGGCCTGGTATCTCTCTGGCTGTCTACACCCTTTTTTCTGGGCTGCAGAGACCATTCATGGCCTACCAATAAGGAAAGTTTTGCAGATTTTCCAGTACCGGTGGGTCTTGTAGCTGAGGCTCTGTCAGCACAAACCCACTGAGAAGGTCCCTGCTTTCACCACTGTGATCCTGGTATATGCACTGTGCTCTTACTGGGCACAAGCCTATGGGGCTGCACAGATAGAGAAGAACTAAGACTTGTCACACCTTTTAGAAAGCACATGTTTAACATATTAAATTAAGGCAATTAGTAGAACAAAATTCTACACTAAACCGAATTAAAAATCTGTATTCTACAAGGTACACTCAGATTCACGCTACAGCAGCTTCACCCCTGCTCCTTCCTCACCATGTGCTCCTGGTCGCCCTTCTGCCCCTACCCAGGTTGCTGCCCCGTAGCACCGTGGGCATTGCAACGTCCCCTGGAGAGGGCCGTGACCAGCCAGGTGAGGCCAAGCCCTCAGCAGGAACTGCTCAAATCATCTTTGCTGCTGACATGCACATATTGCAGAGCCACAGCCCAAGAGCAGCTCCAGAAAAGAGCCTAGCAAATTAGTGGATTAATTAGCCTAGAAAAGAAAGTTAAATTAATCTGAGTTAAAGAAAAACGTCTTATTTGCAGTAAAATGGCATAGTAGTGAGAGTTAATATCTCCACTATATATTGGCCCATTTCTTCTTATATGAAGATGCATACTTCTCACATCAAGTCACTAGGAAAACTGTTACATGATTGCCTTGAAGGTATCAAGATGTAACTGGAAAATTTCATGCTATCTATGGAAGTGCAGATTGTTTGCTGTAGTACAATAGGTTGCATTCCATTCTAATCCTGTTCCAAAATGAAACAAAACAATAAAAATACATTTAAAGGGGTTGCTGTACAGGATTTGTAGTACAAACAGAACATAATTGTCATTGTATCCCTTGAGATAGTTTCGGCAGGGGTCTGGAAGACTCTGAAATCTGAAGGTAGAAAAGAAAAAATGGAGCCATTTGTTCTTATCACAGCATGCCAAAGGAGAACAGGGCTGTCAAAAAGAAATTGTTACATAAACAAAGGAATCGGAACACCAGCCTCCGCAGAAGATGTAGATAGCCATCCTCACAGGGTCAGGCTGGTTGGCCCATCCAGCTGCCCGCTGCCGAGGACTGCCAAATGCTCCAGAAGGTACGAGACACCTCTCGATGGGTATTACAAGAGCATCTCATGCCAGGGCAGCTGGGAAATATTTTCTAAGGAATTAGCCTCACAGCAGTTGGCTTGTCTTGAAGCAGAGCGGTTGATAAAGATTTTAGGGTTTTCTTATGGTTCTATACTACACAGCATGGTCCCACCTTTCTCTTACGTAATGTTTGCCAAAAACTGCGTGTAGTTCCCAAATTATGGTTATTGCATTTGACAGAACTTGTGGGTCAGGAATGGGACTAACTGGAGGAAATGCTGTGCACTCCTGGACATCAGAGCTACCCTGATCGAAGCTTTCAGAAACTGCTCAGGAAACTGGCCACCCAAATACAGAAATCTGCTTTAGAACCCAAGCCTCTGGCATATACACAGTGCCTGCAGAATTTATCTGTTCCTTGTTGCCTGTACAAACTCTGTATTCGCATATATAGAATAAGAAAGTATGCACATGAATGTAAATAGAAATATCACACCGAGGTACACATTGGTGAGGCTGTTCCACCCATGCACCTGCACTTGCAGGGGACAAGAAATTGTTATGCATTGTGAGCACAGCTGAACCTTACGGAGAAGACACTTCAGGTAACAACCCCAGTTCCACCATTTCTCCTAGCAGGACAAAAAGAGGTTGCAGGATCCAAATAGCAGTAGATCTCCACTACTTTTGCCATTTCCCCAGATAGAGAAATGCAGAGATGTTTCTCTGCAGCTTCCAAAATCCTCCTTCTAAGCCCCAGACCTTGCCAGTTTTGCACTTAGAATGCATGGCAGGATTTGCCCCAGAAAGGGACGAGTTGGTAAAGTACATTGGTATCACTCCACTTTCCTCTGATGGGTAGGCTGTACCACTGAGATGAGACTTGTTGGCTTCTGCACGTCAGGTTTTAGAACTGGACAAAACATCCTGAATTAAGTGACCCCCCAGGGCAGCAGCAGATCAGCTTTATAATGATTAGATAGATTTAGCAAGACAGTGCTTATTTTTCCCCTTTTTAAAGTTATTTTTTGCTGTCTGGCTGATTGATTTTTGCCATAGCCAATGGAGGATAAAAACAATCTCAAATGCTGTCTCAAAATATCATTTATATAAAAGTGTGTAGTATTGATGTAATTCTGTTTCTAGTATTTCCTACTATGCTAACCTATCTTCTGCACCAACTGAAAGTCAGTGTTCTATTTTTATGTTGCCTTTAATGTAGGGTGGATTTCACTGAGCCTTAAGTGAGTAAAAAAAGCCTACGTTAATCCTTCATTGACAAACAAATTCAACACTCCTGTGTATACATCCTTTTTATTGCGGCTAATTATTTCAGTCTCAGTCTCGTCCAGGATCAACTGTTTTGCATTTCACAAATGTAAGCTCTGTGCATGATTCCAAACTTGATAACATTCCCAGACAAAAAAGTCTTAAACCTACTTTACCTGGTACAGTGAAAACATTCCATAATTTAATTCTAGCCAGCATCATCTGAAGTTTTGTTATTTTTTTTCCTAAATATACCTTACTATCCTTTTAAATGGCAAGACATTAAAAAGTAATTGAATTGTTCTGCTGCCCTACATTGTTATACTTATTTACGCCAGCAAAGATACCTTCTAGGTGTTCCAGTTGTTTATCGCTGAATGACCCTCTGACCAGCACTAGATTTACTGCAACACAATCCTTCATTGACATTTCCTTTCCAAATACAAACCTTGTTGTGACCCACACTTACACACTGTGTTCTACAGAGTAAGCGATTCTCTGCGATGCTACCTATGGCAAATACCGCCCACAGAATTGATAAACAAATTTTCTCTTATGTTAGTTTAAACGAAACTTCTTACAAATAGAGGAACCACCCAGAGCAATACCTCCCAGACAGAGCATCTGCTGCCTGCACAACAAGGAACTTTGCCATAGACAAAGAGCAGGGTAAGAGCGGGGTCAGGCACAGGCAGCATGAAGGATGGACGGTGAGTTGCTCTGTCTGCTGGAAGCCACAGAAAGCTACTGAAGACAGGTTGTGCATGCTTGGAAAGATGGGAAATCATGCCAGAGGCAAGGAAGAGGAAAGTGTCGGTGTCCCTATTGCTTAGATAGGGAGTACCTATTATAAGTTTGCAATGCTGCTGCAGACATTCATTTTGCACAGAGAGTATGCAAGAGGTTCCTGCAGCATCCAATATCCATATAAGCTCTCAAACCAAGCGTAGGCAACTGTCGTGTGAACAGTACAGGAGCCATGGCTCCTCACCTGGTTACTCACAACCAGCTCCACACCTATCTGAGAGGTGATCAGCACAGGCTAGTGCAGGAACAACCAACTGCTTTTTGCGTTGCAGGTCTGCAGGATGGACAGCAAAATCCCTGTTTGCACTGTGCTTCACCTGCCTTTGCAAGCTCTTGTGCAGTTTCTTCCCCCCACCCCAACACACATACCCTGCCATGCTATCAATTTATCAGGTGACCAGTGATTTTCCAGGTGATGAGACAAAACTTTCTGGTAGGCTGGGTCAGGTCCCTGCACCACCAGTTGACCACCCCTGGCCATGAGGACTGAAAAGGAGCCTGAAAACCTTGACTTCCCAGCACTGGCATGTGCTTATTGCATGCTCCTGAGCAAATGGTGATGGTGGTGTGCTTTCCATCGTTGTTGCCCTCCTACTCAACAGTGTGGTTTATTTGCCTACATCACAGACCTGCTACAGACTGATTAGGCAGTGCTGGCAGAATACTTTGGAGATGTAAGCATCTGTCCAAGAGATTAAATGCTACTCACAAATATTTAGAAATACCACATTTGCCTTTGTTTGCAGTGTTGTAGTATTTCTGATTCTGCTTGAAAGCACATAATATAAAGAATTTAAAAAGTAAGTGCTCACACAAGAAACTTTCCACATTCTTAGGAATTACCTACAAGACTTGATATGTATTTGATTGAGACAGTCATTACAAATTCTTATTTTACTTGAGCTCCTTACATTTCCAGATTTCAGAGTGAGTAACTCCATTTTCTTTTAGAACCATGAGGGACACCCTCAAAGTTCAGACTATAGTTCTGAGATATTACTTAAACCAAATTCTGCATTTTGAGGTGAAGGTGATGTACTTACCAGCAGCCTCCTGCAATAACCAAACCGCCGGCTCCCATCTTCCCCAGTCAGCATGAAAGAGAAGGTCTCACTAGAAGAAAAGAAATTGCCCAGATCTTACTATTAGAACTACAGCATAGCTTCAAGGTAGATCATTTAGAAAGAGATACTGCCTTAGCCAGGGAGATATTTTACCCACTGGACAGTTTTCTCACCCTCTGCCCATCATCTGGACATACTCTGTGGACAAATTCCATCAGCAGTAGGTCAAAAGTATCTGCATGGTTGTGGACAATCTAGCTATCTTATTATAAGAAGAGATGGGTGCTGAATTTCAGAGACATGGCAGTCCCTTTGTACTGCAGAAGGAACACAAGAATCTGATTTTGAGGGCAGTATTCAAATGCTTTTAGCTAGATCCTGTCTTCGGACTGTGTCTTGTTCTTAAAGGGAGAACCTTAGATATCCTCTAAGAGTAGAGAAATAATTTTATAATCCAGGAACACCACAGATTTACAAAATCCAGCTAATTTTATATCCCTGCCTAGGATAAGTACCATTTGTGACAGAAAAATAAAACATTTTAAGACTATAATTACAGCACAGGTAAAGGGATAGGTCTGTGAATTTGTGCTTGGACTGAGAAATATTCCTTTACAAGCTTTAAATGGCATTATACAAAACACTTTCTTTGTGCTGGAATGCCAGGTTTTATATAATTATAGCTGTGTATGGGAGGGATATCTTGCTTCAAACATCGGTTCATGAAGTGTCTGTCTAGGAGAGTGGCAGCAGACATGAAATGCTGCATAGGCAGGGCTGTGTACTTCTCATACCAGTGTTGCCCACACAGTTGTCTGCTTCTCCTTCAGTGTTTTCAGTATGTCACTATGCAGGTGCTTCCACATACTGAATAATACGGCCAAGCAACACAGAATATAATATGGTTATGTTGCATGTACCATACGTAAGCCAACAGGAAGTTCCATACATATTCTTGGCTACAGTAATTCCTGCAGGTGAATGCTAGTTCCTTGTCATCATTGTCATCATCAGTGTCCCTCTAGACACACTCTGAAGAGGTCTCACTTCATTTACGTGTCTCAGACCATGCATCTTAAAAAGCCATCTCATATTCTAGGGGAATATGGGGAGACTTCACCTGGAGTGCTGCATCCAGCTTGGGAGTCCTCAGTACAAGAAAGTCATGGACCTGCTCAAGCAGGTCCAGCGGAGGCCACAAAGATGATCAGGGACTGAAGCACCTCCCCTGTGAGGCCAGGCTGAGAGAGATGGGGGTGTTCAGCCTGAAGAAGAGAAGTCTCTGGGGAGACCTTATAGTGGCCTTTCAGTACTTAAAAGAGGCTTCTAAGAAGGGTGGGGACAGACTCTTTAATAGGGCCTGTAGCAACAGGACAGAGGGTAATGGTTTGAAACTGAAAGAGGGTAGATTCAGACTAAATATAAGGAAGAAAGGCTTTATGATGAGGGTAGTGAAACACTGGAGCAGGTTGCCCAGAGGTGGTAGATGTCCAATCCCTGGAAACATTCAAGGCCACGTTGGATGGGGCTCTGAGCAGCCTGCTCTAGTTGAAGATATCCCCGCTCATTGCAGGGGGGTTGAACTATATGACCTTTAATCATCCCTTCCAACCCAAACCATTCTAATGTCCTATCCCTTCTGCCTTTTTGTCCTGGTTTGGGCTGGAATAGAGTTAATGTTTCTTTTTGGTATCTAGAATAGTGCTGTGTTTTGGATTCAGCATTGGGTTTGGTATGAGAAGAATGCTGATAATACACTGATGGTTTCAATTGCTGCTGAGATTTCAAGGACTCTCCAACTCCCCATGTCCTATCTGTGCACAAGTGCACAAAAAGCAGGTAGGGAGCACGGCCAGAGCACTGGGCCCACACTGGCCAATGAAATATTCCATATCATGTAACGTCATGCTCACTATACAGAGGAGGGCTGGTTGGGAAGGGGCTCTCTCTCACTTCTGGGATTGTGATTGCGGGATCTTGGTATTTCGGGATCGCTAGCTGGGAACAGGCTGAGTATTGGTCAGCAGGTCATGAGCAATTGCATTGTGCATTGCCCATTTATACTTTCTATTATCATCACTGTTTTATTACCATTATTAAACTGTTTCTATCTCAACCTGCAAGTCTCCCTTTACCCCTCCAATTCCTTCACCCATTCCCAGGTTGGGGGGGAGGGTGGGCAAGCGGCTGCGTGGTGTTTGGCTGCTGACCAGGCTCAAACCATGACACTATTCTACTGCTTCTACACCATCAGATCAACAGGTTCTGACACACTGATACAGGGGGAAAAACAAACAAACAAACAAACAAACAAACAAACAAACAAACAAAAAATAACCACAAATATTTTTTGAGGTTTCTTTTGAATTAAAAAGAAAATGCAAGCCTGGCTCTCCATTCCCTTGCCCTTCTCCTGTATTCATTCATCTCTGAAAGAAGAAAAATAGGGCCCCTCTGCTGGCATAGAGCTTGGCTCCAAAGAATTTCTCAGAACAGCGTTGCTTTGAGCCAAACGAAGAGGTATCCTGCAGTGTTAGACAACCACTCTGGGGTAAATGACTAGGGCAGTTGGTGGGAAGGGCCTTGTTCTTTTCAAGATTTATTTTAAATATTTCCATTTATGCTTTTATGTTTAGCACTGAGAGGAACCTTCCAATCTCTTCCCTTCAGCCACACAGGCCTGGTGAGGAAGGCAGAACAGGGAAGAAAAGGAATACAGAACTTTAACAAAAATAAAAATTAAATACAGCTGCTTGAGCCTGAAGTGGCCAAGACTCAAATTGATACTTCCTTAATTGGGCATCGGCAAGCCTGTGGCTGCTCCAGAGGCACTCCATCAGCACTGTGCAGCGGAGGAGCACCGGAGGGATTACCTGTTGTATTCAGAGACTGGGAGCCAGTCCTTGGCATCAGGAAAGCAGAACTGGGGGATAGCCTTGAGACGTTCCTCTGCTTCACGCATCTGCTTAGTTGGTCTTTCTAGCTGTGGGGGAGAAAATTGAGGTTCAGTCAGTTACTGTCAGTGCCAGCTTCACAGCAACTCTCAAGAGGGGAGTTACTAATGAGCTCTGAAGAGCAAGGGCACATCAGCTTATTCTTTATTTGTGCTTGGCAGAGTGAAGCGTGACCCCAGGACAGGCTTATAGATGTTAGTACAATAGAAATAATCACTGCTGTGGGGATGGGTTTTTTTTTTCTAAATTGCCAGAAACTCCCTTGTTGTACAATGGCCACTTAAAACATAGTCCTAACTCAAATTCCTTTCTGCTGCAAGAGCACAAGAGAAATGCCATAGATCAGCAAAAGTCTTTCCATTGACTTCCGTGAGTTTTGGAACAAATCCTAATATAGCCAAAATGAGTTAAAAGTGAAATATTTAGAAACTGAATTTAAACACAGTCTTTCAAGCATCTACCATCAGGCCAAACTTTCCAGTCCTGTAAAAGATAAATTTGCAAACAGGGAAAGCTTTCAGTCACCTTCTCTATGACCTTCACTTTATAACAGATTGCTTTGGAACAATTATGAAAGCTGAATTATTAACTCCACTTAAAAAATAGATCTCTATTAATTTTCCCCACTTACTCACTTTCTTGATCTTAGAATGAACTATATGTAATGATTTTTCTTTTACCTTGGGAAACTGATATGTCACTTCTGGGAGGTAAGTGTTTTTAGAGGGCTTCTTTTTCAGTGACACTACCACAAAATACTCAAATAACTCTCGTTCCTGCCATTCAATCAATTCCAGTTCCAGGGTTCGATAACTTGGAGCCCTCTTCAGCATTGACTGGATGTGTACTAGACGCTGGGTATGAGCTAGAATTTAAAAAAAAAAAAAAAAAAAACAAAAAAAAACAAAACAAAACAGATCGTTACCTTGGACTGCCACAGCCATTCACAAAGGACTTTCAATTTGCCAGTGTATTATTCCAAGTATGTTCTGCTTTCAAAAGCAAACCTTCATGCTGTAGTCTCCCTTACTAATTGCACCCATAAATCAAAACTCTCTCCAAGTAATGAAGTGATGCAACACTAAGCCACTGAAATAATTTGCAGTTCATAACTTGCCGTGCCAAAGGTCTGATGCTTCTTCACACATAAGAGTAGATTTTAAGCCCTTATGTGGGTGTACAAATGCACTAGGGCCTCCAGGGTGACACATCTCAGGCCTGACTTGGGCCTGGTTTACCTTGGCAAAAAACAGTTCTGTGGCCTCTCCTCACGTAGCACAGCTTTATATTAAGAACCACTGAAAGGATATTTTCTCCTTCTCTACAGCACAGGCATAGTCCATACAAGCCATGGAATGGTCTCCAGGGAAGGGGGAAGGGAAGAGAATGAAAGGAAAGAGGTATCCTGTGCCAATTTGATTGAGAGGCAATTTTAGATTCATGGTCATGTCCAGTCCCAATTCAAAGATATGCCTTTCTTGTCGCTAGACATTCATGGCTGACTAGTGAGCAACATCATTACCAGTTCTGCTAGACCAGCAAATGAAAACAGCTAAATAAAACCAGCTTCCTGCATGCTTTTCCCCACCTCTTCACACCAGGATCTCTGTGCAACGGCAAACGAATTATTAGCAGCCCATATCAATCCCTTAAGGCTATATTCACTGACACTGCTCACAGTTTGCAAAAGGCATACTGTCCTTTGTGGTAGGGAAATAAGATGTCACAAGCACTTATCACAGCAGTAATTAATTGACAGAAAGTGAAAGGCTTTGATGACCAGCTGTCATACAACTGGTTCAACAACACAAAAATTGAAAATTCTTATGATAAAGCACGTGGGTCTTGGCATGACTGCACAACTAGGGAAGATAAATCCCAAGAAATAACCCGCCTCATCCTGCCTTGAGATAGCTCCACGCTGCCTGCCAGTGCTTCATATTTGCAAGAGGGGAAACCAAAGAGCCCAGATGACCCGAGCAGATGGGGACCAAGTGAATCCTGTCGTGCTACACATGGCAACTAGATCTTTGGCTCAGAATGCCCCGAGAGCATCAATGTAAATATAAGGTCATGGAGGAGCGGTCAGCTAGGGAGTCATCAGAGTGAAGATCATTCGTTCCACAACAATGGGGGAAAAAGCTTCCCAGTTTCCAGTGAAATCGGAATATCCTCCCAATAACAAGAGAGGGCCCATGTCCAGTCTGCCTTCTTTCATGGGCTATGAGCAAAAGCAACCCCTATATTTTATGACACAACAAGAAACAGAACTGAAAGTGCTTTTGGGCTAGTACCTGACTACAAAGGAGCAGTAAGTCTTTTTCCACATATCACTACAACGTTGCATACAGCCTGTTTTGGGTGGTCTTACTGCCAGCTATGTGGAACAAATCTTTTTCCCCAAGAAAACTTTTTCCAGCAAGTTTTCCTGCATGAACAGTAAGCAGGTGACATCCACAGTAGACAGACGTGAATGCTTGCCCCTTATAACCACAGCTCCTCATTCTTGTTTTTTTTTTTTCCCCCCACTTACTAACAACATGATAGGTTTTTAGTAATAAAATCTGCTGTTGCTGCCTTCAACTTTTTATAGTTTTCTCTGTGTATCAGGACTCTTGAAAATGAGAGACTCATTTACCGGCCTGGCTCAAGCAGAGTTTGTGCAGGTGCTGTGCACTGATAAAGGAATTTCTACAATTTGGAGACTGCAGACTTATAAAAGAGTGTAAGAACCACTATGCTGGATCAGACCCAGAATCTTGCCTCCAACAGCAGCTAGCAGTAAACACTTAAAGCAGTGTATGAATAAGAAGAGAGCATATTTATCCAATCTCATCCCTCTAAGTTTGCACCCAGTAGTCAGTCTGGAAAACATCAGCATCTGTGAAGTGGCTGACAAAGCAAATCTATCAAAGGTCCTGTTCTTCATTATATGACACAGTTGCCAAATCCTTGGTAGATCCTCACAGCTCATTTTATCCTTGCTTTCCACATTCATGCTCCTGTGTTGGAAACTTTGGAGCTCTGCAGTAATGGAGTTAGCATAGTTCAGGAAGGAAAATACAGGCCATGGGCAGGAACAAAGTGCAGTAGCAGGAGAACGTATGTTGATAGGATCTGTGACAGTGGCTGACTAGAAGATATTGAAGGCTGATCCCTTACCTTTAAACCTGTCATCTGAGTCACTCTCACTCTCACTGTTCTCATCTGCAAAGGAGATAGGAGGGTCAGTTAATGCAAAACCAAAGCAAACAAACTTGGTTTACTGTGGTGAAACCGGGAAAACACATTTCAGATAGCCTTTTGATCCATGTATGCTCTCCCCTCGGCTTTAAAATATCTTGGAATAAACAGTTTGAATGACTCCTTAGATTGTGTTTTCCTTGGATTAAGTTTCAATTTTACTTGAGAATAAAAGCTTTGTTTTAATGAAAGCGTAAAATTCATTCTCCATTACAGCAACTGGTTGCACTGAACCCCTATCTATGCTAAGCCACAGAGGTGAATGTGCCATTTGGAAAATAGATTTTAAACCTTCCATTATTTCATATTTTAATTTTTTTGAAAAAAAGTTATGCAACACTTGAGAAGTCAAAGTAAACCTTATGAGCTTTGTCTGGGCAACAATTTCAATCACCAGAACTCGCCAAACTGAGTGAGAGTAACATGCAAAAGTAACCTCATGACAAGATGTATTTCTGAGGTGTACTCACATTAAAGCTCTATTGTAGTCCTACTACAAACATGGCCTGAATTTCTTTTTGGCCCCTGCTTTTTCAGAAGCAGGCTGAGGAGCAGTGTGAGTTACATTCACATGCCAGGAAAAAGCATGAATGAATTACAAGTTCAAAACTGTGAATTTTGGACAAAACTTACAGATGCAAATTACTCAAAAAGTGAACTAAAGAAGCAGCTGGGTAAGTCTAGCTGATCATGGGATTAATAGGATAGACAATGCTGAGAATCTCGTTTATTTTTAGCTCATCCCCATTTTCTCCTCTTTCAGACAGTAAGTTACCGTTGTTTGCAGAAGAAAGGTCTAAACAAAGTAGAGCCTGGGGTAGATGTAGGGGAAAGAAGGGACTCTGTTAATCCTGTAACATTCAAATGGTTTCACTGAACCGTAATGTTTGTATCTTACCTCGTAGGGACGCTGTCTCAATATTGGACATAGAAAGTTTCTTCAGTCTTTTTTTTCCTCTTTTTGCACTGTAGATGGAATTGATTCTTTGGACAAGCTACAAAATAAGAAATGAGGAATCAGTAAGACCAAACACTTTTCTGCCAGAAGACTTAATAAATCTATCCAAACAAAGAATTTAACCATGGATGATAGGCCTGCTGAACCCTCCCCACCCTGAGACTTTACTATTTCAAAGTGCATTTGTTATGTCTCTTATTTTGAATCCCATTTGTTTAAATCACTAACTATGAATCTCATTCCTTTACCTATGGACATGTTTTTAAAAACAATTCAATAACTCAGAAACTTTATTCCCATTTTCAAAAATCTCACAGACATTTGTAATAATGCACAGAGAGCCTGAGGGTTCAAAGGGAGCCATTACCCTCTACCACCTCATTTCTCACTCTCTATATGCTATTGTTTCTCTCTTCACTTGCATTGTCTAAGTAACAGTGATGCATTAGCCACATCCAACTTTGCCAAACTCTCATGGACCTTAAGATCACACCCCTACAATAGAGGAAGAGAGTCTGGTCCACAATGGACAGTTTGAAGAGATAAAATCCTCGTTTGTTCTCTTGCTTGAAGCAGTGTTGGGGATCTTGCCTCTACTGACAGTGCTGACCGAGCCATGTGTGTCCCTCCAGCGAGGCTCAGCTGGAACTTTTCTGCTTGTGGTCCTGTGCCAGGCATCTGCACAGCACCACGGCAGAGCCAGCAGGATGAAGCCCTGCCCAGCTCCAGCCCTGCACTGGCCCAGAAACGCCTGCACGTAAGCACTAAACACGGCATCAGGGACCGGGAGTGAGGGGCCTTGCTGGGATTGTTCACTCCCCTCACTGTGCTGCTTGGCACTTTGTCTGCTTGAGCTACTTCACCAGGGGTAAAGTACCTGCACTGCAGTGAGGGAAGCCCAGATGTTCAAAGCATTTGGATATTGCTTCACAAAGCATCACTAAGAGTGGTACAGAACAGGAGTTTCTCAGGTTTGAGTTTTTCCCTCTAATAACATACATTTTCTCAATAAAACCCCAAGATTTTTCAGTAATATATGATTCTAGGAGCTAGAGTGGTCAAAAATAGAAAATATAATGAAATTTCAGACAAAACTATGAACATTCATATGCCGAAAACGTAATTTCATATAAGGAGAATGTTTGTCCCTTAAATCAAAAAAAAAAAAAAAAGAAAAGAAAAGACAGTTGGGTGCAAAACTTACAGCCCAGCTTTCCAAGTTTTACTCAAAACCAAGTAGTAAGCTACTCTAAGTTACTCTTCCTTCACAGATGTTTGCTTATTTGTGTGGTAAAATAGTATATTCCAAGAAAGTAAAAAATATAGTAAATATTAAGGATGTAGGATAATGTTCTTCCCTTTTTCTTTGTTTTCTGCTTAGACAGAATTTCAGACTAATTGACAGAAACATAAAAATCTCCCTCTACTCAGTATTTACAGCCACGTCCTTTAAAATATGCTCTCTAATAAGAACAGGAAAGAGTTGAATATACAGTAAAAATCAACTTTGTTCACAAGCCAAAAATAAATGCACTGGCAATTCTCCCCTCTCTCTGTTATTGTACTAGAAAAGATTTGTTGTTTGTTTTCTTTGTTGTTTAGTGGCTTGGGTTTTTTTCACACGTCATTTTGAATTGGAAAACTCCTTGAAAAATAGAAAATACATTTTTACTTCAAATCCATCCAGACAACAGGGTTATCAGGATGGGGTAGGTTTTGAGTAAATGAAGAGAAAGCTATTAGGCTAATAATAGTTATTTTCCTGAGACCAGTAAACAAATGATGGGGGGGAAAAAAAAAAAAAAAAAACAAACTTCAGATGTTGCTGCATGTTATAGACAATAATTGCTTGGCAAACACTCATTCAAAATCATATAGTTAGGCATACAACAGTGCTCTGGCCCACAGAGCTTAAAGAAAAGTGTGGAAAACAGAATTGGCTTAAAATCCACTCTGTGCAAAGATGGCAAATCTGACGTTTGCAACTCTTGGATGAGGGCAGAGTTACTCAGTTCTAGGGAAGGGATTTTGACGGCGTGGCTGTATGTAAAAAAGGAATGTGTCTTGGCTCCTGAGAGTTATCGTTTCTGTTTTGATCTCAACTTTCCTTTAGGGTACAGAATGGTCCAGCTAAAGGCTGGATAGATATTTGCAAGATCTTGCAGACAGATGACCCACCCTCAGCACAACCCTGATCACCCCGCCAGTACCTTTGGGATCCTCCTGGCCCGCCGTGTAGACAGCAGCTCACTGGTGGTACTCAGGCTGTCCTCATTGAGGCTGGAAGGGGAGGAGGGAATGCCAAGCTGAGCCAGCAGCAGCATGTCATCGTGGCTGTGCCTCTTGGGCAGCCGTGGCAAGCGGTGGCTCTTCCTTTCTGACCAGTTCCCGATGCGCAGAGACTGGCTGCTGGGCTTCGAAGGTAGCTGTGGGAACAAGAACAGCTTGAGCTCTTCCCCTCCTCAGCAACACTTAGTGCAGAAGCAGCTCTCTGCGCGAGTGGTGGCTAGAGAAGGACAGCACACCAGGTGAACCACTGCTCTGCGGGACATGCGCGAAGAGAGAGTTTAAGGTCAAAATGAAGGGACAGGGATCAATGTCTAAGACTCTAAAGTTCAAAGGAAACAATAGCACTTTTGGATTTGGTGCATTTTCATGTGCCTACATCACATTCTACAAGCCTCCAAACCAAACTTAAAGGTTTGGCTGACATCAGAGCACTGACCCGATGGGCTTGATCCATCTCTTTCACTTGCAGTAGTGGAAATCAAGAGCAGTTACACTGAAGCTGCTATTTTATCCTAGAGAAGGAAGGTAGAACATGAAGCTTTATTTCCACGTTGTTAAGATGTTTTAAGATCTGCCAATGTGCAGAGGCGTAGTTACGGCTTTGTCCTGCAGTCCTAAAGAATTCCCTTTAAAACATGGAATTGTTATCATTGCAGGGAGAAGAGAAAAACTCACTGACAGAAATAAGCACCAAGTAACATCTATCTTTAAAAAACTGGGGCTCTTTTGGAGCAGTCCTGCCCAGCTCTTGGGAAGGTTAATCAGCAGGCTGGTATGGCCAGGTCCCTGCCTTCTCCTCCCAAACACAAACACTGTAAGAAGCTTAACCAGCATGTCTAGAAAAAAGTACTATTATGTCAAATAGCTGTCAAATGGCATTTACTAATATTCTATTAGCAGTATTATGAGCTATAAACCTACAGTAATAAATGTCCCCTTTGTTCTACTTGGAGGGCTTACCTATTACAGCGTTACACTACCTGAGATTAAGCATAGGTGATCCTGTATGTGTGGATTTTGCATCACAAATACAATGTCATCAAAAAAACATTATTTTTACATCTGCTGACTTCAAAAACTGAAAACAATGAATGGGAAAGAAGAAGACACAGTGGGATTCAAAATGACCACAAGCCAGTGTTTCTGAGGTCTCTGCTTACCACAGGTTAACATGCCAGGAAAATCTGCAGCAGTCTATACTTTACTGAAAGGAATTCTTTTTGGAGATGATTGTTGGAAGTCTGCTGACCTTCTGATCTCTTCCATCTTGTTTATCATCATCCATGACTGAAAAGTCATGTTGCTAATCCAGCTGTGTTGCTATGATGGAAAAACTGGGTGATAAATCGTTGCCAAAGCTGCCATTCTTCAGGAAATTGAGACTTTGCTATTTCTGGTCATTGGAGAATTACCCAGGCCCATAGTTGACCTGCTCTTAGTATCTCTTTGCTTTAAATATCGGCACAATGACAGCGCAATTATGGCAAGACTGACTCCTGGCAGGAAACTCCTGGCAGCATTTCAAAAAGAAGCTACCAGGATAAAGATAGCCCTGTTGCAAAGACACCAGAGAGTACTTATTTACTGAGCAACTTTACAGAAGTCATTTAAATCTGTATATTCTTTGATCACCCTGTGTAAAACCGAGAACAGCAGACAGGATATTACTATGGACCTGCATGATTCCTACCCTAATGGTACACCCTCCTGGGTCCTTCGGGTGCTACACAATCCCTCTTAACACACACACAGCCAAAAATAATTGTTATGCATGATATGTCTCTCACTACAAGGTTATCTTCACGGCTGCAGTTTCTGTTTCTCTTTACTCTGCCTGATTACTACTTTTCACTTGTTCCCTTTTCAGTAGCTCTGCTGAAAACTCTCTTGTTTTCAAATGACATACTAGGGGCATACTAAGAATCCTGGCAATACTTCTTTTGTCTCTTGGATTGTGATGCTCACATGCACACAAAATAAGTGAAATAAAATATATTCAGTTTTGTTCTAGATCTCTTTACAAGACAAAAATGTAAATTATTGTGACCTTTTGTTCAACTATAAATTTTCTGTTGATTCAGTGCAAAACAAAGTTCCTTTAAAAGGTGTTTTGAATCTCAAAATTAAGTATGTGATGAAATTTATATTTTTCCTTATGAACACACAATGATCCCATAAACAACAACTCAGCCTGGCATTTCATAGTGTTCACAAAAAACAGACTGCTTTGGAAAATTCACCACAAAATGGAAAGTCTGCAGAGTTCCTGGTCTTTTACTTTATGCTGTAAACACAACTTATACAGCCTTGTTAAATGCAGACACTCATCTTTTTCTGATTATTTTAATTTATTTATTGGGGGGACATACTTGGCCCTCTCCATTTTACAATAAAACATGCTGAACTATGTACTTCACATGAGCACAATAGGCCTCACGTAACAATACACGGGCAAGATTAAGCAGCTGACTTTTTCCCTCCTGTCCCTACTAAAACCCCAGCAGCAAACGCGGGGGCAATTCACAAAGAGGTGCAGCGATACAAATAATTTAGGGCCAGATGCAGCTCACAACCAACCAGTGGAAGGATTCTGCTTAAACTCGTCAGGCTGTAGCCAGCACAAAGAGCCATCATCTTCTGCAGCACAGCGCTGAGAAGCTGAGCTACAGCCGCCAAGAGCATTCCCAGCAATGATTTTTGCATTTGATCACACTCTTTTTCCAGATACCCTTCTTCATTCAGTACCGCTGCTATTCCTCCTATGCCATGATTGATTTTCTTGCAAAAGTTTTAAGTAAGCTTCAAGCACAGAACGACTGGCGCTGTCATGCCGTTACCTGGGGAGGTGATGTGTATTTCCTGTCCTGCGGCGTCCACATCCTGTGCAAAGAATCTAGGGAATTCTCGGAGAGCTGATGGGATTTTCGGCCCGTGTGACGGCCTTTCAGCTCCACATCCTCGTATGGGTTTTCCTTGGGTGACTCGCCTTCACGGGTTTTTTTGGTTTTTTGTTTTTTTTTTTTTAAGAAAAGAAAAACAGACAGGAATGTAAAGTTAAAAAAAAAAAAAAAAGGACAAAAAACCAACAAAAATCATGTGAACCAAGTGAAAGGCTTTTAGAAAAGCTCCTCAGCTTTCAGCATGACTCATCCCTCTAGCTGCAGCTGGAAGTATTTGGAGGAAAACTTGGCTATGAGGTCGACAAGTTTCTTTGGGTTTTTTTAACTGCCTTTTTTTTTTTTTTTTTTTTAAATAAAATGCAAAGATTTCACAAGACATGCTTCTGAGCATCTGCAGCTGTGGAAAATTTATTGATATATAAAAGCTAAGGCACATAACTACTTTAAAGTGTATCAGTAGATTTTATAAATCTATAGCAGCCACTCACAGGGTGAAATGAATAGCAATAAATAACTGTTCTCAACATACCACCCTCACACACAGTACGACAACTTTTATTTGATGCTACCTTCATTTTTCTGTTCCCCTGAGAGAAAGCAAAGAAAGAACAAACACTTTAGCTCAGCACTGCAAAGAGAGAAGATTGGAAATGTAAAAGATGAGGGAAGAATTTCTGCCCCGACCATGCTGCATCCTCCAAGTGTTCTTTAAAACACACCATGCCTTTTAATTAAGCAGACATTAATTTCAATTTGTATAAAATTAATATCTCCCAGAAGGAAACTTATCCTGCCAGTAATATATAGTGGCTTAAACACTTAATCACTAAATATGACATAAATGAAAAATACAACAAAAAGCAGACTGCAATCTTTGATTTTTTCGCATTTGAAAAACAGAACCAAAATTTATAATCTAGGCTTAAGTGAGATCCAATGCCCTTTGGCAGCCTAAGGACTAGTGGTATAACCCAACGTCTTCTCAAGACTCTTGAACTCACTAAACCTCTCACTGAACTAAGAAGCATGAAGGTGAATGAGTGCCATCAGTAAAATGAACATTTTGTATTCATTTCTTCAGACAGTTCATAATCAGCAACTGGTTTAGAACTCCGTTTTTTTTCGAACACAGGGTCTTTCTAGTTTTCCAACCACCTAACACAGAAAATCATCCCAAAGAAGTGATTAACTCAAATTCAAGACCTGAATTTGCAGAAACTTGAAACATGCAGGAAGTTCAAAGCTTTTGAACCAACTTGGTCTTGGTTTTATATCTAAAGATTACTTTAAAACTCATGGGTTTAGTACAATATATATTGCAATACAAGCTACTAAATATAAGAAAGTCAGATTTTACTACATACTGTATCGCTTAAGAACTGAGGACAGAAAGCTATAGCGTGGTTAATTATTCACATTGTTACAGAAAATATTCACTGTTTTTACAGAGATGACAGTGGAGGCATAGGTGTTTTCAATGAGAGCAAGGCCTGGATTAATTCCCAGTTCGTTTGACTACCAGGTTTTTTGTTCTAAACAGAATATTACATTTTCTTATTGTACAAAAGAAAACAATAATAGTTTGTGCTTTCTACTTTGTCGTTAGGGCTGGAAGCATGAGACTGCTTGATTCAACAATTATAGAGATAAGAGCTTTAGCTTAGCAAGTTCATATATTCACAATACAAGTAAAAATACAGTTCTGCTTCGGTAGTGTATCATACTAAGATTATTAGTCAGATATAAGCACAAGAGTGAATATTTTAGCTTTGTTTTAATTAGAAGTCTGAATAGCTGCTGCTCTTGAAGAATGTTTGAATTGGCAATCACAGCTTATTATTTCATCCAGAGGGAATCTGATTCTAGAGGCTGCACTATCATCATAGTCAGTTCACAGGCCACATGGAAAGAATACCTTCAGGTGCGTGGGGTAGTTAGAAGAAAGACCTTTTGATGGATGCAGTGAACAGGATAAATCTTAAGCAACAAATATTCCTAAAAAAATGTAAAGCTACAAATGTCCTGGGAGGATTTTTGAATTGATTGATTCCTTCTGTAGGAAGAAAACCAGATATTGCACATTAGCTAGATATGATAATCATAACAACAATAAATTGGCAACGTTGCAAAATGCTGTTACTTACTCACAGCTAATTGTACTGTACTAGCATAATAAAATTTCTTGTAAGCCCAAGTCAAGTATAGGTCAGCAAGCATCTGAGAATGGATTAACAGATTTCAAAATACCCAGCTACATTAGACAGTGCTTAAACATATGCTTCCTTGTGAAAACAAATGTTATTACATTAGTCTGCATAGTATCTAAACTCCTGAGAAGAAACAAGCCCATCAGTTGAAAAGAGACCCTTTTTAAAATGCAAAGCATTTAAAAGGTTTAGGGTGAGTCTCTTTCCAAGACACAATGTAAAACAGAATTTCTTGAACCCAGTTAAACTCAGCATTACTAATGTTGACCTAAAATGCTAAGTACAGAAACAGGCCCAGAGAAGTCTTGGACGAGAGAAGAGGGAGGAGCAAGGAACCATGAGCAGAGGCTGCTTTTCTGACTCAGATTCTCTACCAAAAGAAAGCTTGGGCCAAATTCCTCTTCAGTGCAATGTGGAGGCCAGTGGAGACACCACAGAGATTTTAACCCTTTCCCTAGAGCTGAGAGCTTCTTCAGATGACTGGTTTGCTATTCAAGAACACTTGTTTCTTTTATTTTTCTCATTTGCTTAAAAAACAAATTATTTCAGAGTGCGTTTGGGTGTTTTTGTTTTTGTTTTTTTCATTTTGAAATGATACCTTGAGACCAAATATGTCTCACCTATTTTTTTCTTAATATAACCTCCTTCCATACCACATCTCTTGTAAATAAAAAGTCCGATCAACCTGACACAACCTGGTTTTACTGATATGGTATTTGAACCAAGAATTTGGTGTAGCCAGTGAACTGGAAGAGATAATTTATTTCTCTGGGTCTTCCGCAATTTTCAAACCTTAAGCAACCACCATTTTTTTAAATACATGCTTATCCCTAGTAGATGAGACACAGAAGACCAGATATGCAAAAAGAACATTAGGCAGCCCAGACTGGTTTCCGTACAAGTGACAAGAAACCCAAGATGTCAAGTAAGCTAAAAAGATGTGTGAAGATACCCTGAATTGCCTTAGAGAAGCATTTAACCCCACCTGACTGCACAGTGACTCCTCCCTTCCATGGGAGAAACACCTGTGAACTGAAGGCCACCAGCAGATGTGGGTCCCACACTGGAGAGAGGCTCTGGGGAAGAGCAGTGATGGCTGCTACTGCTGCAGCGCAAAAATTATGAAAGTTTCCATATAGGTGGGCTGGCTTAGAGGTTTGCAGCTTTGATCTCTGTATTTCTCTTCAACACCATCGCTTCTCTAGTCCCAGGCAAGCAATGTTCACAAGCTGCGGTGCTTTTGCATTAATTTGGATTTGCTGCAAAAGGAAAACACATTTAACAATGGAAGAGCAAAGAAACATCCTTGTTCCTTCCATATGGATGTCTCTATTGGAAGCCAAAAGGAGAAACTTTATGTAATATAGAGGCCAGGCTTGTTTAATGAGGCTGAGCCAGCTGCTGCACAAGACAACAGCAGACTGTCACTGACTTCAAAGCAAGCTGAATCAGACCCCCCAGAATGCATATGGTCACATGAAATAGCAAGTCTTTGGCAAATACTCTCTCTAATCACCACCCCTGCTTCCAGATCAGTTCCCTTTACAAGCCTTTTTTTCACATTTCCCATTCTCTTGAATTCTACGTCCCCAACTGCTGAGTTAACACAGGACATTTACCTACATGACATTTATCTTCAGAAAATCTCACAGACAATTTAATGATTATTCTATAGGGGAAAGAAAAAAAAAATCCAATAGCCAGTGATCTTCAGAGGAGTCCTAAGGAATGCAGTGCCTTGAGCTTAAGCATCGATGTGTTTCCTCCAGCAGTTGCAATTCCTCGCTCCGTGATGCTCTGCAAGTCAGCCCCACCGAGTCCTGAGACAGCACACAATGTTCCTCTGCTCAGGCTCTCACACGTGGCAAATAGGAAGCAGAGTCAGGCTCAGCAAGCCTGTCTCATGCTGAGAAAGGAGTGAAAAGTAAGGCTGAGGGGAAAAAAAAAAATAAATGCAGGCAGACATTTCTCTATAAATGGAAGAAAGCAGGCAAATGCATCATTTCTTTCTAGATGGGAGAAATAATTATCAGAGGAATGAAACGATTCACTGAGTGCTGATTATAACTCCTGCTTTTTACACTGCCAGGAGGCGAGAAGAACCTAACAGCAGGTATACAGTGGTCAAAAGGGCTCATCCATTTGTGTTAACCTGGGTGCCCAGATCAGGAGCCAGTGCTCACAGAGGAGATACTGTCTCCAGAGGGTGATGCTGAGTGTCCAAGCTAAGAGCCCACTGCCTTCCTTGCTGGCTACATAGAAAGCCCAGGCCCCTGGGCTGTACGGCTGGGTTAGGCAGAGTTAGCACCACACAAATGACAAAGGGTGTATTTCCTGCATACTGGAGCATGTACACAAAATATAGGGTAATAAATGTATTCTGCATTATAATGAACTGGGAGATGAAAGCTTCAGCTGCCATCCCTGGAGACACTTAGGAAAAAGTAGCACATACCTCCAGAGGCAAGGAGATGGAAATAATGGCAATAAATGAGCAGGAAAAAAGGCCCAATAACAGACAAGCAGAAACACTCAAGTGAGCAGTCTGTAAGAACCTCTGATGCTTGTGGTACCTGTCCCCTCAAACTTTTGCAGTGTTTCTGTAACAACAGACAGAAGTTGCAACATCAACTCCTTTCCACACATAAACCCTCTGGTGGCATTTATAAGCCCTCGAACTACTTCTGCTCATGACCTCTAGTCCAATTCATCTAGCTCACGCACATTTGGTACACAAAAGCCCTTGCAGAAGATTAAGGTAAAATACAACTGGGCAAAGAAAAAACAAGCAGAGAAGGGTGGGTGGGGAATTCTGCTTTTGCTGCCACTGAAGAGGAAGTAATGGGAATGAACCTCTGAGTGTAAGCACTGCATGACAG